GTCCTTCCTGACCTGCAGAGCCCAGAACTGGACCCGTTTCTCCAGCTGTGGCCTCATCAGGGCAGAGCAGAGGGGCAGAAGAACCTCCCTGACCTGCTGCCCACCCTCTCCTTGATGCCCCCCAAGAGCCCATTGCCCTTCTTGGCCACCAGGGCACGTTGCTGCCTCATGGTCACCCTGTTGTCCACCAGGACCCCGAGTTCCTTCTCCCCAGAGCTGCTCTCCAGCTGCTCACCCTGCACTGATCCATGGGGTTGTTCCTCCCATTCCTTCCACTTCCCAGCCATGCTCCTGCCCCTGCTTCTTGCTCACAAAGCTTTTGCTTGATGGTTTGATCCTGCGTGGGGTGGTGATGCAGAGCACCAGGGGCTGTGACAGGACACAGCCCAGGATGGCCACCCACGGGTGACACCTGCACTTGGCTAGAGTGATGCCACCCCAGGGCTGTGATGCCACCAGGCTTGTGTTGGCAGGTCCAAGTGCTTCACTGCTGCTGCAGAGTGAGACCCACGGGCAGGAGAAGGGAAGTTGTCATCACAGGCCTCGGGCCTCTGAGCAGAGCTGGGAGCTGCCTGGGGTGCTCCTGGTGGCTCCATGTTCTCACTCCATCCTGCAGCCAAACACAGCCCTGGGGCCTCCTGGGTGGAGGGAATCATTGGCTTCCTGGGCTGGCTTCTGTGATTGCTTCTGTGGCCTGATGATCACAGAAACCCAGACTGTTTTGAGGTGGAAAGGACCTTCAAGATCATCCAATTCCAACTCCATGTTCTCACTCCATCCTGCAGCCAAACACAGCCCTGGGGCCTCCTGGGTGGAGGGAATCATTGGCTTCCTGGGCTGGCTTCTGTGATTGCTTCTGTGGCCTGATGATCACAGAAACCCAGACTGTTTTGAGGTGGAAAGGACCTTCAAGATCATCCAATTCCAACCCCCTGCATGGACAGGGACACCTCCCACCAGCCCAGGTTGCTCCAAGCCCCATCCAACCTGCCCTTCAACACCCCAGGGATGGGGCAGCCACAGCTTCCCTGGGCAACCTGGGCCAGGCTCTCACCACCCTCAAAGCAAAGAAATTCCTCCTCCTCTCCACACACATCCAGCCCTCCCATCATCTCCGTGGCTCCTTTGGACTCTCTCCAGGAGCTCCATGTCCTTCCTGTGTTGAGGGCTCCAGAACTGGACACAACACTCCACAGTACTGGATGATGCCATCCCTCCCATCCCACCCCAAAGCAAAGGTCCTGCTCCACCACCAGTGTGGGCTGACCTGCCAGTGCTACGAGTTGGCATTTTCGAGGTGCTAATCCCAGGTCCTAACAATGCCAAGGAGGAAGGGGTGGAGGATATTTATTTTCTTGGCCTCCAGGGATTGAAACAGAAGAAGAAACTCAGTTCTGCCATATCCAGTTACTGCAACACAAGTTAACTGGCCCAGTTTCACTGACAAATTTGACCTGCAGCCAACTTGCTTTGTCTTCCACCTCCTGAAGCTCCTCAAGTTCCACACAAAGCACAAGGAACATTTTTCTCAGGACCTCCATGGCTGCCCTCCCCACCAGCTGGAGCTGTACACCCTCTCCTGGGTGCCTCTCCTCCCTGTGCCACCCTGTCCCCTGCTGCAGCACAAGGACCCACGGGCATCTTCTACAGTAAGTGGAGTTTAACCGATTTCCCAGCTTTTTCCCCCAACCCCCCCATGTTTTCTCCCTTCCTCCTGCTCGTGGACACTTCCCATCCCAATTCCCACTTGACTCCTCATCTTCCCAGAGTTTAAAACAAACCAGCATCACCAGTGATGTCGAAACCAAGTCCCACCTTTGCCTGAAAAAGCAGCTTTTTCAGTGTGACTGGGATAACTGGTCCCAATGAATAACACCCCTCCTCCCAGGCAGGTTTGTCCTGCAGGGCTGGGAGTTCCCACCACACACAGCCCTGTCCTGAGGAGGGACAGGGTGCTTGTTGTCCCCCAGCCCACGCCAAAGGCCACATATAGAAGGTGAGGGCTGCCAGTGCCTTGTCCTCACAGCCAGAGGGAAGTTCCCAGCTTGGAGAGGGGTGTGGGAACAGTTTAACCCGTTCTTCAGGTCTCCAAAAGAAACCTTCCTTTCTGGCTCCTACAGCTGCAATTTCCATCTTTGTCTCTCTGTTTTCTCTCAGACCCCACTCAGGAGAGGACCCTCCTATAACAAACTCCAGAAACATCCAGAAAAAAAACTCAGGGGTTGGTGAGAGCTTGATTACTCAGCTGGAAGATCCAAGGTACTGCTGGGTGACCTGAAATACCCGAGGAAGCTGGAACAGCCTATTCAGAGGGTTATCCACACAAACCTCTGCTCCTCCTGCTGATATTCCCCAGCCCTGTCCCATCCCAAGGGATGCAAACCCAGCCTGGGACACAAAATCTCTCTGTAACTCCATGGATAAATAACTCAAGACTTTCCTTCTTCCACCTTCTGCCTCAGCTTGCCCTAAAAAACTAGGGAAACCAACCTCTTCCCAGCCTCCTACGCACAAAGCACATTCCAAATATTCTTAGTGCAGAGGTTAATAAATGTTCCATGGAAGTGGGATTGGCTCCCACTAAGGCAAAGAGAAAAGGGACTGGCACGATGCTCTCAACTCAAATTAAGCTTTTAAAGGATTTCCCAGGGGCAGAGGAGAGAAATGTCCCCAGATCGATGTAAAAGGAGGGATTTGGACTGAATAAAGACAAAACAAATGGCCTGGGCCAAAAGCTGCTTCTGGGAGTGATTTTTTCCTGGAGCCCCTTCAGGCACTGGAAGCTGCTCTAAGGTCTTCCTGGAGTCCTCTCTTCTCCAGGCTGAACACCCCAACTCTCCCAGCCTGTCTCCAGAGCAGAGCTGTTCCAGCCCTCCCATCATCTCCGTGGCTCCTTTGGACTCTCTCCAGGAGCTCCATGTCCTTCCTGTGTTGAGGGCTCCAGAACTGGACACAACACTCCACAGTACTGGATGATGCCATCCCTCCCATCCCACCCCAAAGCAAAGGTCCTGCTCCACCACCAGTGTGGGCTGACCTGCCAGTGCTACGAGTTGGCATTTTCTAGGTGCTAATCCCAGGTCCTAACAATGCCAAGGAGGAAGGGGTGGAGGATATTTATTTTCTTGGCCTCCAGGGATTGAAACAGAAGAAGAAACTCAGTTCTGCCATATCCAGTTACTGCAACACAAGTTAACTGGCCCAGTTTCACTGACAAATTTGACCTGCAGCCAACTTGCTTTGTCTTCCACCTCCTGAAGCTCCTCAAGTTCCACACAAAGCACAAGGAACATTTTTCTCAGGACCTCCATGGCTGCCCTCCCCACCAGCTGGAGCTGTACACCCTCTCCTGGGTGCCTCTCCTCCCTGTGCCACCCTGTCCCCTGCTGCAGCACAAGGACCCACGGGCATCTTCTACAGTAAGTGGAGTTTAACCGATTTCCCAGCTTTTTCCCCCAACCCCCCCATGTTTTCTCCCTTCCTCCTGCTCGTGGACACTTCCCATCCCAATTCCCACTTGACTCCTCATCTTCCCAGAGTTTAAAACAAACCAGCATCACCAGTGATGTCGAAACCAAGTCCCACCTTTGCCTGAAAAAGCAGCTTTTTCAGTGTGACTGGGATAACTGGTCCCAATGAATAACACCCCTCCTCCCAGGCAGGTTTGTCCTGCAGGGCTGGGAGTTCCCACCACACACAGCCCTGTCCTGAGGAGGGACAGGGTGCTTGTTGTCCCCCAGCCCACGCCAAAGGCCACATATAGAAGGTGAGGGCTGCCAGTGCCTTGTCCTCACAGCCAGAGGGAAGTTCCCAGCTTGGAGAGGGGTGTGAGAACAGTTTAACCCGTTCTTCAGGTCTCCAAAAGAAACCTTCCTTTCTGGCTCCTACAGCTGCAATTTCCATCTTTGTCTCTCTGTTTTCTCTCAGACCCCACTCAGGAGAGGACCCTCCTATAACAAACTCCAGAAACATCCAGAAAAAAAACTCAGGGGTTGGTGAGAGCTTGATTACTCAGCTGGAAGATCCAAGGTACTGCTGGGTGACCTGAAATACCCGAGGAAGCTGGAACAGCCTATTCAGAGGGTTATCCACACAAACCTCTGCTCCTCCTGCTGATATTCCCCAGCCCTGTCCCATCCCAAGGGATGCAAACCCAGCCTGGGACACAAAATCTCTCTGTAACTCCATGGATAAATAACTCAAGACTTTCCTTCTTCCACCTTCTGCCTCAGCTTGCCCTAAAAAACTAGGGAAACCAACCTCTTCCCAGCCTCCTACGCACAAAGCACATTCCAAATATTCTTAGTGCAGAGGTTAATAAATGTTCCATGGAAGTGGGATTGGCTCCCACTAAGGCAAAGAGAAAAGGGACTGGCACGATGCTCTCAACTCAAATTAAGCTTTTAAAGGATTTCCCAGGGGCAGAGGAGAGAAATGTCCCCAGATCGATGTAAAAGGAGGGATTTGGACTGAATAAAGACAAAACAAATGGCCTGGGCCAAAAGCTGCTTCTGGGAGTGATTTCCACAAAGCAGCAAAGTTTTTTTTTTTATCCCGTGAGAATCAGAGAGTGTTTAAGCTTTTGCACAAGAGGATCTGAAGGGATGGAGTCTGGAGATCTCCAAAAGAAAAAAAAATGAACAGGAGGAAAAAGAGCTGCAGTCCAGGGTATTGTTGTCACTGCACTGTCCCCTCCAGCCACCTTCTGGGAATGTCACCTCTGCCCCCAGCCCTGCCAAAGGATGTTAGAGTAGAAGGAGAGAGAAAACCCCTGGCACCAGCACAGCTTTTGGCTTTGTGAGCAACACTGGGATTCTGTGACATTCCCTGTTCCCTCCTGGAGTGCCTGGACCAGCTCCCTCCCTCACTCCTCGGGTCTCTCTACACGCCAGCTACTCCAGGCTTTGTGCTCTCCATCTCCTCCCTTCCAACTGCCCAGAGTTCACAGGTACGTCCCTGCCCCTGCATTTCTCAAGGAAACATGGGGAGATGTGACTTACATCTATGGAATGTTCCCTCTGGATCACTTTCCTGGCCTCCTTCTCGCAGTGGTTGAGCACCGCGTCGCAGTTCTGCTGCCCACCCGGGGACTTCTCCTTCTGGTTTGCCTGACTCAGCTCCAGAGGGATGCTTCCATCTGGATCCACCACATCCAGCTCCTTTTCCAGCTCTTCCATCTCCTCCGGAGACAGAGTAGACAATAAACTGTCAATATCTGGATCTTCACTAACTTGTCGCCGGTATTTGGCCACTTTGGACATCTTGGCTCTCTGGCGAGACACGGTGGCGGTTGAGTGGGAACCCAAGAGAGGAGAAAAAGAAAAACCAGGGAAGGAGAAGCTCCAACACGGCTTCCCCCGGGAGCAGCAGGTGCTGAAGTGTTAAATCTCGGCAGCTCTCAATCCCTGCAGCCCGGGATATAGTGGTTCTAAAGAGGGGACACCCCTCCGTCCATGAGTTGGCCAATAAGAGGATCCGGCTGGGATGGGGGAGCTGGGAAGCCAATGGAGCCCAGCGGGAGGCGGGGAATGGTGCTGTCAGAGGAGCCTGAAACCCGAGGACATTCCAGGGAACCAAGCAAAGCTGCATGACCAAATTTAGTCCGGAGCATTTAGCCTTTTAAAGGCAATGGGCCAACCTAGTAAGAAAACAGGCAAAAAAAAAATAAAAATGCACAAGCTGCTGGGGTTTAGGGGGGGGGGTTTACCCTGGGGCTGGAGGGCTACAAGGAGGCCACTGTGGCTCTGAAGATACTGGGTGTCCCCTCCTGGCTCTGAAGATACTGGGTGTCCCCTCCTGGCTCTGAAGATATGGGGTGTCTCCTCCTGGCTCCAAAAGATAAGAGATGTCTCCTCTGTTTCAGGAGGGTGATGGAGTTCCTGCCGTGACTGTTCTGGATTGAATGAAGTGCCCTCCCTGGAGAAGGTGTTTTTTTCATCTTTCTCCTGCTGCTCTCCAGGATCCAAAAGAGCACAGTCCTGTGGGAAGGAGGGGGTGGGAGGCTGTGCTGCTGGTGTAGGCTGGTTTCTTTAGGAAGGATGTGCAGAGCCTTTGGAGCCAGAAGGAACTGGGCAGGGAGTGCCAGCCTGGTGCCTGCACCTGGTTCTGCCAAACCCGACTCCAGCACCATCCTTGGTCACTGCATCAAAGCTTCTCCTGCTTCCCTGTCCTCCCCAGAGGGGCTTCTTCACCACAAGGCTCCCATTTCCCCTCACAAGCCCCACAGACATTTCTCCTTCTGCACAGATTAAATTCCTGAGTCTCTCCTGCTTCTGGCTCAGACCGTTCCCTAAGCCTGCGCTTTGGTTGAAGGCACCAACTTTCCATCAACCTAATAATCCCTGAAGAAGCTTCCTGGTGT